GACCCACCAGCTTATTGATCGACTGCGCTTTGTGCCTCAGGTTTGCTTCACCTACCACTCTATTATTTTTTATTATTTTATGCATTGGGGATAATTGAATATCTTTTTGTTGGGAATAGGGTAAATGGAGAGTGAGTGCTAGGGTTGTGGAACCATGGGTAAATAAAAAGGTAAAATCTAGCTAAAATAACAATTCTAGAATAGTGTCTTGCATGTATTGGTAATTCTTTTGCTTAAAAGTCTTTTTAACGGATGGCCAACATTAGAACTTGTCATATTGCTCTTTGCCGGATCAAGGAGGTAGATAATAGAAAAATAATTATCAACATAGATTTAGTGTATTCTATCTAATAGGATAGTACTGGTTGGTACGAAGTAACAACTTAGTCAAATATCGAATATGATACTTAATATGAGGTAAAGATAAGGTTTAGTAAAGAAACACACGTAGCCGGACCAAGGTGCGGAGTGAGATTCTCTAGATGTCGGACCAAGGATTTAGATATACCTAACTTATCACTTTGCATGCAAGACACTAGGAAAGGATTGTTATAGTTATAATTACCGAGTTAGGAGCCTGTGGGAAACACTTACGCCCTAGTTACTCTCACTACTTGATTACACTCCAATACTTGAACTTGTCACTTGTTTAATTTAATTTAGCTAATTGATTTTATTAATCAAAACCCTCTTTAGTTATTTGTTTTTTGGAAATAAATTGACTAAATAGAAGTAATAATAGAATAAAGTTAATTCTAGACCATTTTCCTCGTGGGAACGATCCCAACCTCACTAGTTGGGTTCTTTACTTGATGCGACCGCTTTTACTTCTTTATGAGAAGTAAATCTGAGCGTATCAGACAACATGGGAATGGACCCAATGGATGTAGCTTCAATCTCATTATCCCTAACATGAGTTAAATAAGCTAAACAACCTTGCTCTACTAGTTTACTAGCCTGGATGAAAAATATAATTTTAGCTCTGCTTAGGCTTGTACCCCTTTCCATTCTAATTTTTCTCTTTCCCGAATTCCAGGAGTTACAGACTTAGTATTACAATTAAATACAACATAATAAAGAGAAAACCAAGTTTTGACTAAGATAATATCAAAATCAACAATATCCAAAATCACCACAAATCTGAAATCCCATAAACAAGATAGGGCAAACACAATAAAAATACAATCAATATTCTTAAAAATCATGAAATACAAAATATAAAGAGAATATTAATAAAGTAATATGTAACCTGGAAACCGCACAACACAAATACAATAAATGTACTATAATGAATACAAAACATCAAATAATAAAGTATAATACAACTGATATAACACCAACAATGTTAAAAATGAATACATCTAGATAAAATAAATATGCATCTTTAATTGAACGAATCCAAACAACACTCTACAATGTTCATAACTAGAAAAAAGAATATATATATATATATATATATATATATATATATATATATATATACTAATATAGTAGT